GGAAGAAAAGTCTATGCCTGGATTTAAAGCGGCTAAAGATCGTTTGACGTTGTTATTGGGTTCGAATGTTGAAGGTGATCTTAAATTGAAACCCCTTTTAGTTTATAGGTCTGAAAATATATATATATATATATATATACTCTTCCAGTTATATATATATATATATATATATATATATATATATATATATATATATATGAAGAATGGTTTACTAAGCATTTTATACCTGAAGTGAAACAGTACTGTTCAAACAATAATTTGGCTTATAAAGCTTTATTATTTTGGACAATGCTCCCGGCCATCCTGTGCGTATTGCCGATATTATCCTCAAATCAAAGTCGTGTTCCTGCCTCCCAACACCACTTCGTTGTTACAGCCGATGGATCAAGGAGTTATCGCGTCTTTTAAGGCCTATTATCTCAGGAAAACTTTTTCACAGTCTGTAAAGGCTAATGAAAATGATGGCATGGAGCTGAGAGATTTTGGAAAAGTTATAATATTGCAATGCGTAAAAAATATTGCTACTTCATGGGATGAGGTGACACCCAACAATTTAAAAGGAGTGTGGAAAAAGTTATGCCCATTTTTTTTTGAGCCATCTGAAAGTTCTACATCTACAGATCAACCAAATGTCGATGAGATCACAACTGACATTGTTCATTTGGCTAACCGTTTGCCTGACATTGCAGTTACTACTGATGATATTGATGATCTGTTAAGCTCACATTCGCAAGAACTGACTGATGAAGATCTTATTGAATTGGAGGCACAAGTACAAAAGGAAGCACTCGAGTCACAAGAAATAGCTTCTTCTATTAGTGACATTTTAAAAAGAACTTACACTAAAAAACTTTCCGTAGCCTTTGCAAATTTGAAGAATGCCATGAAAATTTTTGAAGAAAATGATCCTAATTTTGAGAGAAGTTTTAACGTTAATAACAAAATTTGTGCAGCCTATCATGTTACCAAGATCTGTATGATAGCAAGAAGAAAGAAGTCCAAGCAATCTAGAATTGATAGTTTCTTTAAGCCAAAAGTTTAATTTATTATTTATCATTACATATGTATAAGTTTTATAATTATTATTAAAATTAATAACACACAAATACCAAAAATAACTAGCAATTTCATAAGTGCATAATATATAATTATTTTAAGAACTTACTTTTAATAATAAAGTACGTCCTTTGTTATAAATGCAGTTTTTTTTATTATTTCGAGTCCGTGTGGAACCTAACCCTTGAGTTTTACATGTAAACATATGAAAAAATATGTCTCGACTTACGTCGTTTCGATTTACGTCGCGTATTTCGAGAACCTAACATGCCGTAAGTACGAGGACTGCCTGTATATATATATATATATATATATATATATATATATATATATATATATATATATATATATATATATATATGGTCTATTAACTTCTAACCTTCTTTACTAAAATAATTTTAAGACTAGTTCTAAAAATAGATCTTGTTATCTATACTTATAATAAATCTATAGAGAGGTCATTTCTGTACATGAAATATATTTCCAAAATAACTATCAGGGGGTGATTAGTGATCGATACTGATGCCAAAAATGCAATCAGTAAAATTTTTGTCTGTCTGTCTGTATGTTCGTTATAGAAACAAAAACTACTCGACGGATTTTAACAAAATTTGGTACAAATATTCTTCATACTCCTGGGCAGGTTATTGTATACTTTTCATCGTGCTACGATCAATAGGAGCAGAGCAGTGAAGGGAAATGTTGGGAAAACGGGAGAAGTTACTCCATTTTTAAGCTTCAGTCGCGTGTGCAGCCTTAATGGCCGCTTTTTAAAATGTAAAAATGTCCACCCGTGCGAAGCCGAGACGGGTCGCTAGTCTGATAATAAATAAAATAAAATTTGAATGAATCGTTATAGTCGTGAGCTTGTTTATTTTTACTTATAATAGCTCGCTTTAATGCGGTTACATTCAGTCATTAATATGTGAATGGCGTAATCACTGATAACGTTCGATTGCGACCGCAAAACATTTTTATTAGATCATTTTATAATTAATGTAATTAATTTAAAATATACATAATCGTCTTTAATAGCTTGTTCTACATTTTATTTGATTTGAAATGTTTTATATTTGTTAACAAGTATGTTATATTATCCATAATTTCATTTCAGTCTCTGAGTTACAATTCATGTTTGGTTAATTTTAAACCACTGACTAAATAGATACTTAAGATAAAGATTAACCTCTTTATTCATATAAATATATAGATGTCAGGGTATATCTCGACAGGTCGACCTCCACGTGGCCCCCTCTGAAAACTATCGTGCTGAATTCGTGGTGTATTTATCACGATGTACCAACTAACCTGCCATTTAATTCTCACCTATCATCCCTCACTAGTGCCTTGCCTGCATTTACCATTAGCGCAGGTGAGGTTACCATTGCATTGTCATCCATTACAAAAATGGAGTAACGCACAACATTCGTCACCTGTTGCCATCGTGGTGAACATAGTACTAGACATTTCCACTGAACATTCACTAAACATACAAGAATCCAACATGGTAACGCTCCCACTGTGCTTCATCTATTTATTTATTTATTTCAAGTAAACAGTTACATAGTATATATTCTTAGTGCTGCGAAACTGCATTGCAGTTTGTCTGCAGCTTTGCGCTCTTGTACATACAGCTTATTAAACAATTATAAACTTATATCCTAATTCTATATACTAAACTTACATCTTTATACATACATATACACAGATATGCATATATACACATACATATACATACAGACACACATGCATATACTAAGCGGATGTTACTGGTATGAGTATACACTCATCATCAGAGAGTTAGTGACATTTCTTACAAAATCTAGAGTAAATAGTTTCCAGCCAAGTTAGAACTGTTGTAACGGAGTTAACAGACAATTATAGCAGATAATTAACATTAACCAACTATATTTAACTCGGACACCGGAAACTAGTTATCTAATTCAGAACAAGCTTAGCAAACAATAATTTAACGAGATTTAAACAATGTTCCTAGTGTAATGACCTACTGAGAATACATTGTGATCGGTCTAAAACGAAATTATCATTCCAGAATGTCGTAAGAGCTGATTAGAAGCATTGGGAGTTTTTAGTAATGGGAATTAACAGTTATTGCCAATAATATAAAAATGATCCCAGTGCAAACCGTGTTGATTAATTAATTTTGCCAAATTTGTTACGATCTACCCAACTTTAGCAACTGGGCCCACTGACCTGACTTTATCCTCACCTATCATCCCACATAGGTATACCGCTAGTGGAAACCAATTGTACAAGCGAGGTTATTTTAATAAATTAAAAAAATTACGAAGGAACAAAAGCATAATACACTTGTATATGGAAAAGAAAAATTGCCATGCATAATAAGTAATAAAAGTTTTTTTTATATACAACTTAGAATGGCAAACAAGCTGACGGCCCCCCTGATGGAAAGTGGTAACCGTCGCCTAAAGACATGAGCAGTACCATGGACATAACAGAGTATACTGTTTCGCCCATGATACCCCCCACGCGTTGCCATTCCTGAGAAATCAGATGTTATTATTCTGTACTCTGTAAATTCACTGCCATATCCCACCCTTCTAACCGAAACACAGCCATGCAAACACAACTGCTTTATGGTAGAAACACGATTGGGATAGAGGTGTCCAAACAAACGACTTTTGTACAAAATCTCCCCCTGATTTCATTCTTTGTAATGGATAAACTCAAAAACTATTCAACTAATTTTAAAAATTCTTTCACCTATAGGAAGCTACTTTATCAGCGAGTAAGATAGGCTATTATTAAGATATAAAGATAATATTTTTCTACCAGTGCGAAGCCAGGTTGGATCGCTAATAGGTTAATAATGATGCAATGTTTTCGCTCCGACTCTTAATGTTTGGGATTAAACATTCAGATAGTTCGTTATGTTACGTTTAGCATTCAGATCGATCTTGTTATTTATCGCCAATTAATTATGATTTATTAATTACAAAACATTCAGATCGATTTTGTCAATTAATGATCAATTAATTATGATTTAATAATTAAAATACCAATTAGGAAGTTAACATAATAACAATTATGGACGTCACTTCTTTGTAAATAAAGTCAGATAATCATATCAACAGTCTGTCCACCGCTGAACATAGGCGGAAGCCTAACTCCTAAAGAGGAATCTTTGGTGAGTTTTGCCAGTAGTTGCCACACTTAGTAGGTAGGAGTTAGGCTTTGGTAATATTTTAAGAAGAACGCTTTTACCCATCCTTCAACCATTGAATTATTATTTCGACTTTCCTTTAGTCACCCTTTACAACACCCACGGGAAAAGAAAGGGTAGCCCATTCTATGCCGGGACCACATAACATAGAATGGGTCACCCCTTCCTTTAATAAAGTCAGATGAAATGAGCATTTATAAAGTTTCACTTCATTATTCAATGGTGAAAAAGTAAATTAAGCGAAGCTCTTTTCAAGAAGCCGTAATTACGAGGTTGAAAGAGAACGGACATAATAATATGCGATTTCAAAATAGTTTCATAGAAATGTTTTAAGCAGAAAAAAAATCTCTTAAGTTTAATTTTAATTTAATAACATCGCAAGATTACTCCTTTATAGGCCCTTCTAAACTAAAACTACTTTAATTTTGACTTACATTTGTTAGAAAAGGATCCTTACAATAACTTTTAAATAAATTTTAGTTTTAGAGATAGTATTAAGAAATGGCCCCTCAGAATCAAACCCATTGTAATAGTAATGTTGCACTTTAAGGTTTCTATTTTACTGATATCGATAAAATCGATACACGATAAAGATGAATTATATATTAGATAATAATAGGTAGGACAAATCCTAATTCATGTGAGTAAAACCGTGAGATATAGCTAGTAATTAATTACAAGTCGGAAATATTTGTGAACCTGCAAGAAGTACATCAATAGAAAAATAAAATCAACTTACCAATTTTAGCACTGCTAAAGACTATCAACGCGTGCGTATCGTCCACCCACTTTATCTCGAAGCCGGTGTCCTTATAGTCGCTGAACACTGATAGGAGATCGTTCGTTTTAAACTCGCTGGGAAAGTCGTAAACCTCCACGACATGCGCGAACGTCTCATCATACGGCCCATTGAAAAGCGCCTGTCCTCGCGTCTGGTACTGTTCGTAGTTATTCTTCGCTTTACTTATGTGCACCTTCCCAACAGTCGACGTCAACTCTTCAAGCAAGGAAGGATCCAAGCACTCCCCGCTCTCATCGTAAACAGCATCCCAATCGTTCTCCTCGCGCTTTAGAGACACCTTAGCCTCTAGTTTAGGCTTCAACTTCTTCGGCTCTGGTTCCTTTACGTCCGGCACATAGAGTACCTCATTCTTTTCGCTCTTAGGCTCCTCTACAGGATCCGATATGACTAGGACATCAGAATGGAAACTCTGTTTGATTATTCTCTTGCTACTTCTATTTATCTCCTGCGAGGCCCGCTTCAACTCGTTCTTTTCCACATCCTCATCTTTACTGTATAAATAATCGTTATCAATAATATTGCTTTGATTCGCTTCGTTTAAAGCCATGGTCTCGTCCGGCTCATTTGGTCTCCACCCGTTATCAGTGTAGTCCTCGGAATACTCACTGTAGTAATTCGGGCTGTAGAACCCTAGCTGACCGTTTGCGAAGTAATCACCTATATAAAAATTTTCACCTACTTCTACGTCGTTAAAACTATTATCACTAAACGATATTGCACTATCACTATTTGGCACTTGGCAAGCTGAAGGCACAGATTCGATTGTATCGCTCGCCGTCGCTTGGTCTATGCTTGGAGCTGTGTGAGATCTTTGATTCCTGAGGTGAGGGGGTGTGTACACGTTGCAAAAGTTTTTATCTAGAGACTTCTTTGGGGTGCCATGCGAGAATTTTTCTTTCGATGCAGGCGATTTAGGACATTTGGCTCCGTCAGCGCTGTGGCTTTGCCGCCTGTGGTTAGTCTCCTGTTTTGGATCTTCTGTTGTTGTATTTTCTGCGACTCGTAAAGCTCTCGGCACGTAAACTGCGCGATCTGGACGTCGGGGCTTCGTTGAACCAGATCTATAACAAAAGATATAATTTTAGCGTAGATAGTAATTGGGAATTAAAAAGTATGTTAAACAAAATTAATTAGTGAGTCGTATTTGCGATATCAACTATAAAAAGACACATTTACAAAATTAAAATTTTCAACTACTTCTAATATTATCTTTCAATATTTTAAATAAATTGGGACGTCATAAACATAATCAGCTTCACTGGTAGTAAAGCTGATTGCTGGAAACTTATAAGTTCATGTTGAAAAAATTGCTCCCAAAATCTAAATAGAAAGTGAAGATCATCTACTAATTAAGTATAATCGATACTTTGTTGTTGTATTGTTGAATCCGTAATTTTTTTTTAATTATATATTAAATTGTTTTAGGAACCTATTACTTGTGTCCTTACTGATATTATAAAGATGAGAGTGCTTAGTATTTTTTTGGCAATTTTATAGGCGTTTAACGACTCGATTAACTGCAATAACATTTGGCATACATGTATTATTCGAGACGAAAAAAAAAGATATATGCTTTTCATTCTGGTCACGTGTACAAAATTGCTGGAAAACTCTAATATGATATAACGCACAGGGTAGTAATAAGCACATAGTTAAGTGCCGCGTCAAAACATCTCATGAGCGGTCACGTCGCACTGTTGTAAACTATTACGGCGTCACGTAACAGCGAAGGGGGCCAAGGCCAGTGACTGGCCAACTTGCCCCTCTCTTTGGCACACTTTCGGTTTCGGCGGGCGAGTTGTGATTGCAGCGGCGCTGATAGCGTCCAAGTCGGAGTATCTAGTCGGTCCGGATATATTTGCCGACACAACGGTAGACTTGTTTAGTTAATTGCTCAATGTGTTTTGAGGTTTTGTAATAGTTCTTTTATGTTCTTTATTACGATTAGTTTTAGTTACATCTACATTCTTAAAGGTGTAGAGATCGTCGTTGCTTTTTCTGTATTTTTACCCTTTTTTTAGTTTCCTTTTGGAATCTAAGTTAAAAATATTGTATGTTTTAAATTAATAATTAATTAATGAAATTACACTAACTGATCACTTATGTTTATCAACGTGAATTAAGTAAAAAGTAACCTATTGTTAAGTTAGAGGTCCTGACATATGGTGCCTTATAGTACATATACTGAATAACAAGTCGGCATGAATTTATTGATAATGTAAATTGAAGTGTCGACTCCAGTCACGGGTGCGTCGAACTGGGGATCGGTCGCAATCAATATAAATGAATAACTGGAAAAATATAACTGGAGTCGTCACTTCAATTTACATACGTATATTGTCTACATACATTAAGTCTGTGTGTCCCTCCCAATTTAAATGCATGAATCTATAATATAACCAAATAAAATTTTTTAATTTTATTTAAATTGAATCAATAGTTTAAAACGTAAGAAAAACACCATTCTATCCACCTAAATAACAAAAATAAGATAATTTCTTTAACTTCCCATCATTGTGTGCACATTTTTTTTATATCATGCATTAATGCATCTAAGGTGAAGGCTGGAATGTATAAATACATGATAGAAAAACATATGAAAACCTATTTTGAATTCATCTTTCGGGCCTTAATATGACGCGTCCCGAAGCTTAATTTAAAATAAAAAAACACGAAACTTTAATATTAACTATATACAAAAACGACAATTTTTTTTTTAATATTCGTATTTATATTGATGCATAAATGCATGCCCAAAAAGGACAGGTGTGTGTATGTATATGCATGATAGAAAAACACATAAAAAGCTTTTATTAATTCTACTGCTCGTAAATACATTATAAGCTAAAACATAAAGTAGAACAAAACGTATAAAAAAAAAGTTACCCATGATCAAACAATCCCTCATCAACATGCACATAATAATAGCTGAATAAATCACAAAGTCCAACACACCGGTAATTCATTTTATTAAATTAAAACAACACATTAAATAAGAGATTTTTGTCGCATTAAAAAATCTGACTTCAGAACTATTACGTTACTACTATAGGAGTAAACAGCGGGTCTACCATGAAATGAAATTCCGAAATTTCGTACTCAATTTTCTTGTTTTTGTTTATACCAAAATCGAATCAATAAATGGAGTTTAACATTTCGTTCGTCATACAATCTATCATAAAAGTCAAAAGGAACAATATTTTAACATTTTTAATATTTCCAAATGGCATGTATTATGTAATTTTAACATCAAATTTCTGTTTCGTTTGGCTCCGAAATTTCGGAAAACATTTCATGGTAGGCCCTCAGTTTCAAAAAGAATCACGAAAATCTGTTTCACAGTTGTTGAACATTTTTCAATCTCATATTTGTATTCAGTTAAAAACACGTGTTACACGTAGGGACACAAAACTGTAACAGATTAGTTAGTACGTTTGATTTATTGTTCGTACGCCGGAATTCTCCTTCAATAGCTACGAGCAATTGTGTCAAAAGGAAACACGAAATTAACGTGTTGCTATATTGAATCATTATAAAATAATTTGCCTGGACTATCAACGCACAGCTAAGGCTAGAAAGATGATATTTGGAACACCGGTTTATTAAATAAAGTTTATTTATTAATAAACCTATGTTAAACTTTTAAATTAAAAATAAGGTAAGAAAGGGTTTTCAAAAATTTCAATTTAAAGGCAACACTACACAAGCAAAGCCGCGAGAATGGTTGAATCATAAGATTTTAGTAGAACCGTAGAGCATTCGATTTTAAATTTGATTCGTCGAAATAAAATTTTTAATTTCCTTTTAAGGAAATTATTAGATAACAAAGTTTATTTTTAAATTAATTTATAATGTATATATAATTTATGAAATAATTACAAGATGTCAAAATTCACGTTATAAATTAATTATGAGAAAATTATTATTAATTTAATTTTATTATTAATTAAATGTCAGTAGGCGGGTTGGCATCCGCAGTTAGGCTTTGGTGACGTTTTAAGAGGGACGCTGCTGCCAATCCATCGACTATTAAGTTCCCTTAGTCGCCTCTTACGACACCCACAACCTATTCCACACATCAAACCAAAAAGCTGACTGACCATATATTAGTTATGCCCCGCGGCTTCTCCTCTAGTGGTAGCATGATTATTTGTGATGTAGAACAGTCCATAACTTTTCTTAAGGAAAGAGCGAAATTTTTCAAATCCGATTGCTAGTTTCAGAGATTAGCGCATTCAAATAAACAAACCTTTTCGATTTATTATATTAGTACAGATCAATAAGCCAGCTCGATAATGGCAACCAAACACTCGATCGCCAGTCATAAAATTAGCACAGAGATGGGCAGGAATTATGGAAATGGAAAATCTACTGCGAACTCAAATAATACATGCAGATGGATCGCTGCGCAAGACAATGATGACATTACAAGGAATGTTAGCGATTATACTGCATCTATGTGTAATGGCCGAGTTTGAAATTAATGTATGTAAGATGGAACGTATGCCCTCTGTCCACCCCATAAGAGTGGGATAAAGCAGTGAGTTTACAGGGTACAGAGGAATAACACAATGTGCAGTTATGGTATTTAATATATTTATCGGTTTTAATTTTACTTAAATAGATATATTATAATAAGATTTATAGAACAACAAAACAGTCTCGTGGTAGTAAAGTATAGTTTCACACAGAGGGCGTCTCAACCGCGCGATGAATATAAAAATTTGCAGGGTAGTATGGTGACTGTTGCACGGTGGACGGCCTACCCGCTACGTTTATGCCGGTCCGCCATTGTCTAGACACGTATTAGTGTTAACACTAGGAATCACAGAACATGCAGCCCATGGTATTTACTATTTATAAGTCGCTACTCATGATTTAGAATTTTCAAGCTTGCTCAGTCATCTCTTCATGTGGTCCTGGCATAGAATATGCCATATCCCTTTTTATTCTGTGGGCGTCCTAATAGACGACTAAAGGAGCTTAATGGTAAAGATGCGGTTGTTAACCCACTTGCCAAGCGTGGCAACTATTGGCAAAATTCCCCTTAAGGGGAAGTCTTATATTCAGCAGTGGACAATTAACAGCTGTTTTGGACAATTATTATTTATTATTTCATTCCTTCATATTTTTTCTGTTTACTGTAAAATTCTTTTACGATATCTTCTTATAACTTATAAAAAATATTCAACAAGATGTAATATTGTTACAAATAAATTGAGTTATTTATACACCATAAATCGATAGATTCACAGAAAAAAAACGAAATTTCGAATTAAACTATTAAAGCAGATTAATAAAAAAAAAAAAATAAGAAAAACTTGAGGATAGAAAATAAGGAGAAAAAGAAAAATGTAAACTTCAAAAATTGATATTGGAATATTCCGTAATAAACCTTATTACGGAAATTGTCAGTAATAAAACTTATGGGGCACACGACTAGTAACTCGTAACTTTGCAAAGTGAAGGCATAAAGGTCACGGTTGAGAAACTGGTGCCAACATTTGATGCAATACCGTGCAATGGTATTGCATCAAATGATCCACAATCTGATGAAGATTATACTATTATTAATATCTCAGAAGTTTTCTATGATAATGTTGCGAGACTGAAGGGGTCTTTAAATAACCTAAACCTTGTTTATTACATCTACTATAGTTGAATTTTAATGATAAAATCAGATGCGACTTTGTCCGCATTTTATTTGACCTATTTTCCTCTGTGCGAACATTTTAGTCATTTTGTATCCTCGTCAATAAATAATTTACGACACAACAATAAACTGTTTCTGTTTTTGTCTGATTGTTTGGATTCAACTCTGTACATTTTCCTTTCCCAGTTTGATTACTGTTAGCCATCACAGCCAAATTTCCTCTTTATTTGAGCGTATTATTATAATTTACATAATACTGATAATAACAAGAATATATTAAGATATGATAAAGTATTAAAAATACAAATTGCGTCGATATTTTGAATTACTAAAACATAAAAAAAATGTGCCAAGTAATCCAAATGTCAAGGTGTGTTGGTTTTGTCTTCTTAAAAATGAGTTTATGCAATTGGCAATGTTATTTTTACGAAATGGTGCCAATTAATTATTCGTCATCACTTCATCGAGTGGGGTCGACTTACACTGCGTTTGCCCATACGGGATCGCCACTCAAGCACCTTTCTTCCCTTTTGGTTGTCGGTTCTTCGACCTATGTGACCAAGCTATTGCCACTTCACATACATGCCACATCACATTTGCTTATCCTTGATGATGAGGAATAGTTCGTCACCAATAATTTTATAATTAGTTTACGACAAATAAGTTTGTTTGAGGGATTAAGGTCATTGTCATTTCCAAGGTAATAACTGTACATACACACGAAATATGTTTCCTATTATTATTTAAACTGGTAAAGGATCAAACTGTCAAATCGAAACCAGTCCATTATCAGGTTTACATCTTACTGGATTTTAAGTCTTTCAATCTCCACGTCAATTCCCTTATAAGGGAAGCGAAGAGAACTTAAGAACATAGAATAAATCAAGTTACAAGGAAATTACCAATAACACATAACGATAACACCATGTACACGTATATTGCTGTAATCTTATTGATCGATAATTATTCCAATTGTAACAATATCTGAGACGTAATTACAACAGATGGCACAGACAATTGGCTTTTTGAGCGTAATTAACTTGGATTCCAACAAGCGTAAACAATAGAATATTAAACACTTACAATGTTCGAAGCGCACCGAGATAGTCACACAATTGTAAATGCACAAAAACACACAAAATAACACTGAACACAATCACTTCCTATCAGTTGTGATTAGCTGCAATCAGAACAGCGATAAGAGAAGCGCGTACGTCCACGCGGCTCGGTGTGCGCTGTACAAATGTGATAGGAAATGTTTTGATACTAACCTGATCTTTTCCTGAGGCTGCGCGCGGCGCTGCGCCTGCGCCGGCTTGCAACCTCCCACCGCGGCCGCCGACTCTGCGCAACAGTGTTACATAAAGTCACCATATTTTCCTAATGCCGTATTGGGATATAAATGTACTTATTTCTAAATTGATTATACATGTGGGTTTAACGGGAAAGTGGATGCAGTGAGTGTGCAGTTAGTTGCGCAGGAGCAAGTGTACTACAGTTTGTTTGTAAAAATCTCTTAACTATATAAGTGTGACAAAAAAAAAATTATATCTTAATAATTATTTGTTCAATTAAGAGGATTTATAACAGTAACCTATAAAATTTTGTTGGTAAAATCAACGTGGGAATATTGATTTCATCATTTTTAATAAGCAAGTTCGTGCTTGTCATTAATAGATAGATACATTATATCCAGTGCAAATACTTATTTAAATACTCAAAGAATAAAAATTACATAATAAAAAGTAACAAAATAATTTTAAAACTATTTATCGATTTATTAGAAGAATGATCAATATTTTGTTAAAAAAATAAGTATACATGTGTATTCGTAATGATAGACGTGTCGGCTTGCATGACAAACGCGCACGACAAACAAAATTATAAAAACAAGACGACTACCCGTGTTTCAAATATCGGTGATGTGCTGAAATATACGGAGAAGGTGATTGACCGTACAGAGTGATCGTTTAATTTAGTGTAATTTTCATCTTAATTCATGCGGGAAAAGTAGCAGAATATAGTTAATATTGACAAGACTCCTAATAATGACTAGGTTTGTTTTCTTGTCGTTTTATTTCTAGACAATTTTAGATTCCATTTTTAAAATAAATAATGAAAACTCATATAACTCAATTCGCCCCTGCTTTTTATCTAATTTACATTGTAAAATTGTTATTAATTTTGATTTAGTGAACTATTTACGAAATGTGTAATAGTACACTCTTGTGTTGGATTCATATTAATTTAATGACAATTAAAGTAGCTGTTATAATTTGCAAAATTTTATATTCGTGCAGTGTATAATAACTTTTTACAATTAAACATATTTTGTAAGCTATTTTAAACTTTTTTAATCATAATTAAATAATAATAATGTAAATAAAAAAAACTAATTCCATATTAAGGTGATAGTCGTGAAGTTAGCATGAATGGATTAACATTTATTGTCGTTTTTCGAAACTCATGTTTCTTTGGGAAAAATGTGCGATTCATTTAAAGGGGTGCTAATATTTTGGATTTCTCTTTAAAGTTCCATATGGTCAATATGGAATTTGTTTAGTAAAAGGTATGTACTTAAAATATACGTATTTAACATTACGACAGGGAACTCACTATATCGTTATTTGACGAGACACGCACTAGGAAGCGACGTAATTTGCAATTACACTTCAATTTGATCAACTATAAAGTCGGTTAAAAAACAAGAGTCGTTACTTTTTGTATATTTTACAAAAGTAGTTTTTTTTTTTTAATTTTTAAAACTTGTGTTCGTTTTTAACCATGTCTATATATGTATATATATATATATATACATGGTTAAAAACGTATATATATATATATATATATATATATATATATATATATATATATATATATATATATATAATATGAATAGGGATTAGAAAGTCATGATGACGAGAGTGATATTTTCATGTCATTACAACCCCCAGTAATGAGGAAATCAGAGAAACATAAATATATATAACGGGAATTTTATGAACTTACTCCGTTTGTCATTTCCGATAGTTGTTCGACTTCATTAGGGAATCTTTTTGGCGAGTACGGCGGCCTCACAACGTCTCGTCATGAAGAGTGTATTTTTTCATTTTTTTTTATAAACGACATACAACGACATATAAGCTAACAGCACACCTGATGGAGAGTGGCCACAGTTGCTTAAAGACATGAACAGCATTTAACACTTATGACAGGTGCCTCTTATGTATTGCAACCAACTTCAAAAAAGAAGTTTTCAATTCGGTTGCATTTTTTTTTGTTATTTCATAACTACGTCATTTATGAACCTCTTTATATTTTCCAAATCGGATTTTTTTATACCACTGAGGTGGCAAACAAGCATACGGCCCACCTGACGGTAAGCGGTTACCGTGGCCTATGAACGCCTGCAATACCAGAGGTATTACGCGCGCGTTGCCGACCCTGAAGAAACCTCTTTACCCCCCTTTTTACCGGAATATTTATATTCTTCTTTATTTGAAAGGATATTTATACTTTCAGATTGGTCCTATATAAATTTTATCAATATCGATTCAGTAGTTTTTAAATCAAAATAACTGGTTTTGTATACAATTGAACCCGTCTTCTTTCCTATGTAACACAATCTTATTATGTAAAGAGTATATATAGTAAGAACCATAAGTACAAAACACCTATTAAAATAAATCAACAAAATATTGAAAAAATCCGCAGTACGTAGACAAAACGTAAGCATCCTAGTATTACATCAATGCAGTTACAGTGAACGTGGTTCCCATGGTTGCTGATAATGTTATTATATTTTCCAGTTGCTTGCCAGTATAAATACTTCATCATTTATTGCTCACGAGTCACGACTCCATCAGATGATGCAGGACTCGAGACACTAACAGGCACTAAGTTATCACTGCAGTAAATTTCACTAAAATCCGTCTAGTTGTTTAAGCGAGACGCATGCATAGACACGGTCTGGTTACAGTTTTGCTATAAAGTATGCATACATATACAGATTGTATAGTTTTTTTTTTAATACATATGTGAAAATGTTATGGTAATCCCGAATGAGCTATTGGTTTACGCTGGTTTGATAATAGTTGCCACGTTTGGCAGGCGGGTTGGCAACCGCAGTTAGGCTTATGATGTTTTAAGAAGGACGCTGCTGTCCATCCCTCGACCAATAAGTTCCCTTAGTCACCGTTTACGACCCCCACGGGAAAGTAGCGGGTGGCACATTCTATGCCGGGACCACAAGACAAATTCATAGTTTCCCGAATCTATTGTATCATGGATCATCGTAAACTATCTTATAATAATTTTTACTTAAATCTATTAGAAATTTAGTTCATATTGGTCCTCGGAATAAACATCGCTGTGACTGTGAAAATTTAACTTAAACTTTTAAAATATGTGGAGAAAAAAGACGCCTCGAAATCGACCCAATTTGCTATCGTTTATTACATTTGTAGTAGGGATAGATAATATCTATATATTTTAGTTACAATTACAATTACAATGTTAAAAATTTATCTAAAAAATAATATTAAATAACAGATTTTTAACATATTCGAAAATAGATATCCGACCGCCATATGATATCGAAATGGGCGAAAATGACTTTGCCCAAAGGAACCCGATATATAGATATGGGATTAATATCCATATTACCCATGCCTAATCTGTAGTATAGATGCTCAAATAAAATACACATATTATATTAAACAGGTATGTTTAGAATTAACACTATATGCTGCCATTCTTGTTTCTGTTAAAGCGGACTATCAGTCCCATTGCTAGCAATATGCCCTATAAGATCGACCTCCACATGGTCCTCTCCCTGGAAACCATCGTGCTGAATTCCTGGTGTATTCATTACGATGGGCTAATTGACCTGCCTTTTCATTCTCACCTATCACCCCTCACTGGTGCCGCGCCAGTGTATACCATTAGCGCAGGCGAGGTTACCATTCTATTATCGTCAATACAAAAAAACTCCTGTTTCTATATCAACATCCGAAAGTAGTTTTATTTTCGCAACTCGTTATACAATTCATTATAATATTGTTAGTAACTATACGAACGAGGGAAAAGGCCCAGGCGGGCCTTGATTGTGTACTTGAATTCAAAAAGATGTGGAGCGGAAACTCGGATCGTAATGTAATAGGGTGTACAGACCGGCCCCGGTGATGAAATGTTTCACAGACAATAACGGTTCGTCGCGATTCGATATTGAAATACAAGCGTTTTTGTAATAAAAAGTGGTGATTTAAAAAACGAAAAGTGACAAGTAAACAAAAAATTTAACTGTTGAATTTTACAAGACTAGACCGTTTATGGTCAACACAGTTTTTAGTGACATCATGTAATCTAACTCTTTAATTAGAGAAAAAACTGTTTAAGATTGTATATAACAAAGTATGGTATCGTCCCAATTATCTGTCAAATTATTAAAAACAAAAACTGAATTGACTTCAACGTTTGATTGATTTTATAAAACAAAAATGTAAAAGGTAAAGTTTTATCGGTCGACAAACAGAGGGAGACTTTGTACAAAAGTCGATTGCTTGGGTACCTCTGTCCCATTTGTGTTTCTACTGTGAAGCAGTTGTTTGCATAGCTGTGTTTCGGTTTGAAGGGTGGGATATGACAGTGAATTTACAGGGTACAGAGGAATAACATCTGAGTCCTCAGGAATGGCAACGCATGGGAGGTATCATGGGCGAAACAATCTAGTCTGTTATGTCCATGGTACTGCTCATGTTTATAGGCGACGGTTACCACTTTCCATCAGGTGAGCCGTCAGCTTGTTTCCCATTCTAAGTTGTATAAAAAAAATCAACGTACCAATAAAAACTTTGCACTTCGTATTTTGTTATGAAATCTTTCAAATACATTTTTGACATCAAAATCTAAGAACACTGAGCACCTCTTAAAATAATCGTCAATCAAAAACATTGAAAATAACTATTTTACTATTTAACTAAATTGTTTTCGAAAATTTGCATACAATTGCAACATCATCACACTTCAGTAGGCAAAAGTTTTGAACGCTATTAATAATTTTTGAAAATTAACATATAGACACAAATGTTTTTATAGTCCGGTATTTATTTATCACCATTTACTCCACTAAGAATGCTATTAACACGAAATTTTCGGCATTATTCATAAGACTTTACTATTACAAAATACAAAACTCTTAATTATTCTGAAATTAATACGGAAATCAAGATGTGTAACATAACATTTACAACAGCTACGGTTTGCACCTATTTAGTACAACACTGTACTAACAGCAATATTACTCACGAGACCGAATAAATTTTGCAATTTACTGCATTTCCGCT